CAAGGTATATTTATCACTTAATAATGTTACTAAACAGTTTTGAATACTAATTTAGTGCCTCCAGAAATTGAACTACCACAAAACATAACTGCTTATGAGAATGAAAATATTACTATTACTGTAAAGGTAATAAGGGCCCATCCTCCTGTATTGCCTGACTACATATCATGGACATATACAACCAGTAATGGAAGTGCAAGAACAATGAATCAAAGTATTGAGGAAGAATATGATAGCAGATTCAACATCTCAGAAGATGGCAGGAGTCTTTATTTTTCTGATCTAACAAGTGATGATGAAGGATACTATCAAGTATTAATATGGCATCCAGCTGGGTATAAGAATAAAACAACCTATCTTAAAATAGAGTCACTTATTCAAGGTACAATGAGACAAATAGTTGCACAAAAGATTAAATAAATTATTAGGTACTACTGCAACATCATCATCTACTAGCACTCAATACATTACAACAATCAGTACAGCATTAGGATTAGGCATGACCATTATCATTCTGTGCATTGCTATTATAAGCATTATTGTATACAAGAAAAAAAGAAATGAAAAAGACCAAATAATGAGAGATCTATTTGAAATGGAAAACAAGTAAAAATAATTGTTTAAGTATTGTAAAATTATGAACAATTTTCTAGTGGAAGACGTAGGTCTAGTGCTTTGACAAATACTGCTCAAAGTATGTTAATCTGAAGATAATCTTAAATGTTATTGTTATCGTAGTTTATTTAAATGCTACTGACCCTGATTTTTTGAAAGCTCTACCTTTAATCCTGCTAATAAAAAGATGTAATTTGAAACTAATGGACTGCATTGGTCAAGGTAATACAATATATGAGAAAAATTTTAAAACTTGCAATTTGCTATACAGGTGAATTTGCTAAAGTATACAAGGGACATTACTATATTAATGGAGAATGCAGTCTTGTTGCTGTTAAAGCTCTCAAAGGTACCTATCATGCATTTTCTACCACATCAATGACATTATGCAACACAGGAATAATGGACAGATACAATAGCACTGATATGAAAGATTTAATTGATGAGAGTCTAGTAATGAAGGATTTGCAGCATCCTAATGTAATGGGATTGATTGGTATATGCTTAGATGCTGGACCATCACCACTGATTGTACTACCATATATGGAAGGTGTAGCTATAGTTCACATTAAAACTATATTGCATTGTGTATGCACATAGGTGGCAGTTTGCTTAAGTACTTGGTAAAGAATAGAAATATTCTGATGACTAGTACATCAACAGATGATGATGAGGTTGTATAATACTTAAAATATTGACAACACTATATCAATATCACTATTAGATCAATCAAGTACGTTCACAGCTACTGTCAATATGTTTACAAA